TGCATGGACCCTAGTTGGATTTACACCATCCCTTCAGCCGCTGGCGATTGTGAGACAAGTTTAGCCGAAATTTAAAGAAACAAATATACTACGTTTAAAATTCGGGTAAGCAAAAATTAACTTTGAAAGTTTTGGGACTTACGTACCCCCAGGAGGACAATAATTTTACGCTACTTTAACCCCCTTAAAGGGTACAGCCACTAACAATCACAGTTAATAATCTAAACTACCAGTAATAAAATATGTATCTATTTACAAATCAGTTAACAAGTCTAAGTCTTTTAAAAATGCAATAATTAAATGAGAACTTATATTAGTAAAAAGATCCTTAATGGTTCGTGATTTGAAATAGTTATCCCTTGTGATCGAATATTCAACACAGTCAACACCGTGATTCTTTCATCACAAGGGATACAAAACGGAGGAGCCTCACCTTTTAATAGGTACTCATGAGTATATCTTGTGTGGCCAATACGGCATCGTCGTATGATGACCTTTTCAAATCTGGACTGACAACCCAAGTAGGTGTAACCAATGTAGGGTTTTATTTTATGTAATTTATTGATACCAACTTTGGTGTCCCACTTCTTCTGCATTAGATCACGGATATAAGATCTGATGACAGCTTTATAATCACAGTATGGAATAAGAAGTGGTGTCAAAGATTTGTTGAGTGCTGCCTTGTTCCCAGAAATGCCAACGTGGCTGGGTAACCAACAATAGACGATGTCGTATTGGCCAGTTGAAGGATCATTATACAATTCAATTATGGTGGATGTTTACAAGAGAGAGATTGTTAATAGCCTGAAGGCAAGAAAGAGAATCTGAAAATATAATATATTGATTATATTTGGGGTGGCTATTAATATATTTAAGAGCTGTTAGTATAGGTGAGCTTCTGCTGTGAAAATAGAGCTGTTATCAGGCAATCGAGAAGATATTGTTCTCGATCGAATGACAGTGGCACAAGCTACTGCGCCACCATCCTTGGACCCATCTGTAAATGAGGAATTTGTATGTATTATATTTATTTCTTAACTGACTAAATTCTTGTCTATACTGTAATTCATTAGTTTCGGATTTTTTTAAATGTGGTCAAAGTTAGGTCAACTTGGGGCCTAACCAATTGCCAAGGAGGAGAAGAAAGAAAACGGGAAGGAGATATGTTTTAAAGATCAATGCCTGCAGCAGAAATGAATGGTTTAATTCTGAGCCCAAGAGGCGGGACAAGGGAAGATTTCTTGTTGTATAAATCCTCATATAGTGGATTGAAATGCAGGGTTAGATTCATTAGAATATAATTTAGTAACATATTGTAATGATAATTTTATACGGCGGTGTGTAAGAGATGGCTCATCTGCCTCGACGTAGAGACTATTAACGGGAGAAGTTCTGTAGGACCCAAGGCAAAGTCTTAGACCTTAATGGTGGACTGAATCTAACACTTTTAGGTTGCTTTTGCAGGCTCCACCATACACAATGGAGCCGTAATCAAGTTTCGAGCGAACCAATATGATCGATAGAGGTGTAGGAGGGTAGTTTGATCCCCTTCCCACTTAGAATTGTAAACGACTTTAATAGATCCAGTGCCTTCAAACATTTATTGTTTAGGTATTTAATATGAGGAAGAAAAGTTAAATGGGAGTCGGAAATTATACCCAAATACTTGGCCTCCTTGACAACTTTGATGGGAGTGCCATTCAAAATTAGTTCAGGGTCCTTATGCGGCTTATAGTTTCTACAGAAGTGTAAACAATTAGTTTTTGACTTGGAAAATTTAAAGCCATTTTCGAGACACATTTTATTTATGTTGTTTAAATACAACTGCATTTGCCGTTCAATAGTATGCATATTTTTACTGCAACAAGAAATATTAAAATCATCCACAAAAAGTGATCCATCGATTGAATCATTTAAAACCTTGGATAGACTGTTGATCTTGATGCTAAACAATGTTACAGACATAATACTCCCTTGTGGGACACCCTGATCCTGAGTATAATGATCAGACAGGGTTGAACCCACTCGGACTTGAAATTGCCTGTCCTTTATAAACTGTGATATAAAAAGAGGTAAACGACCCCTTAAACCAAAATCATGTAAATCCTTTGAAATGCCATGCTTTCAGGTGACATCGTATGCTTTCTCGAGATCAAAGAATATCGATACTGCATGTTGTTTATTTACGATTGCATTTTGAACAAAGGATTCTAAACGTACCAAATGATCAATGGTACTACTAGTTTTCCTGAAACCACACTGAATATTTGTTATAAGTTGATTGGTTTCAAGATACCAAGTTAATCTATTATTTACGATTCGTTCCATGGTTTTACAGACACAACTCGTTAAAGAGATTGGTCTGTAATTAGACGGATCAGTATGATCCCGGCCAGGCTTGGTATAGGGACTATAATGGCATTACGCCACGAAGTTGGGAAATTCCCTGTAGTCCGTATTGTATCAAATATAGTCAAAAGTGTTCCCAAACATGATTTAGGTAAATGCTTCAAGAGCTGATAGTGTATATTATCAGCCCCTGTAGCTGTATCATGAACTTGATCAAGGGCGGTACGTAGCTGATGTAGTGAAAATAATTCATTGTAGTCTTCTCCATTGTCTGAGTTGAAATTAATTCTTTTCTTCTCCTGTTGTTTCTGAAACTCAGGGGGTCGGTGGGGTAGCCTAGTGGTTAAAGCGTTGGCTTGTCACGCCGAAGACCCGGTGTCGAATCCCCACATGGGTACAATGTGTGAAGTCCATTTCTGGTGTCCCCCGCCGTGATGTTGCTGGACTATTGCTAAAAGGGGAGTAAAACCAAACTCAGTCAGTCAGTCAGTCTGAAACTCAGGGGCATAGTTGGATGAAGACGAGTGTATGGCAATAGTTTCGCCAAGCTTATTGGCAATGTCAGCCTTATCAGTTACTAAATTATCACCGTCCTTTAAATGGTGAACGGTAGATTTGGAACCTTTCCCCTTTTATTCTTTGTATCATGTTCCACACCTTTGACATCGGTGTTCGCGAATTCATTTTGGAAACATAGTCTCGCCAAGACTGACGCTTATTTTGTTTGAATGCGCGTCGAGCCTTTGCATTGGAAATTTTTACTTTGTCTAAATTATGGACTGTAGGGTGTAGGCGAAAAAAAATTTCAGCCTTTTTCCTACACTTTTTGGCTTGTTTACATTCATTGTTAAGCCATGGTTTGCGAATGTAGAGGATTTGCAGAGGACTTAGGTATTGATTGATCAGCTATGTCATGTAGCTGATCTGAAAATAGCTTAAGTGGATCTTCGGTATTACGAAAACGGTCAGATGTTAGGTTTGAAGTACACAATACCTCATACCAATTTGCTTTTTTAAAATTCCACCTAGATGACGATGAATCAGCATTTGGGTTGATGGCTTTAAGAACAGTGGGAAAGTGATCACTGCCACAAGGGTCGTCATGAACCGACCATTCAAATTCATTTAATAAGTTCGCATCTGTAAGAGAAAGGTCAAGTGCTGAATATGTTCCAGTGGCAGGATGTAAATACGTGTTTGAATTATCATTAAATATGCATAAGTTATTGTCATTTATGAATTCCTCGAGTACCTTCCCTTTATTATTTGTATTTATACTTCCCCATAGAGGGTTGTGTCCATTCAGGTCCCCCATGATAATGCATGGCTTTGGGAGCTGATCATATAGCTGTTGAAGATCAGATTGTCGTAGAGTAGTTGAGGGAGGGATATACAGTGAACACAGAGTAAATACAATGTGCATAGTTAGCCGTACGGCAACAGCGTGAAGATTTTGTATTAAGAGGAACGGAGCTGCTTATGACTTCCTGTCGTACTAAAATAGAAGATTCTTCTGAGGCCTTATCTTCTGGTGGAGAAAAGGAATGATGACAGTTGTATCTTCTTAAATCAAATTTGTCAGTAGGTCTCTTGGGTTGAAAATCTTGTACTAATAATTGTACCTCATTCAAAGTTTTCCTAAGTCCTCTGCAATTCCACTGAAGGAGGCTGCACTGGGGATCTAGGCCCTATGGATTTACCACTCCCATCTACAGGAGAGTGTGAGGGAGTGATATCCATATCAAGTGGTTCAAAGGAATTATGAACCGTTATGGGGGCTTCCAAAGTGGAAGGCACCTCCAAATGCATAAGTGCTTTACCATTTTTTTTTGATTGCTTCTTTTTGTGTTTTGACAGTTGAACTGTCTCAATTTCTTGGTCACCTGTAGGGTCAGACGTAGGTACAGATAGTGGTTCAGGGGGAGCTTCCGCCTGACAGGCCGATTTGTACAAAGTTTGGGATGAGATAGTTATCAAGGTTGATCTGTTTATCTGTCACCCAAGATACAGCTGTTTGACATGAAACAGATTGCTTTGTAACTGTGACAACAGGTGAAACTTGTGTATTGAAAGAGATATTGTTTTTGTACTTAATTTTGAGGATTCTAGATTGGTGTTCAGAATAAGGACAGGATGTTGATGATGCTAAATGTTGTCCACTACTGTGGGCACACTTCATATCATTATTGCAGTCAGAGTTCTCATGAGCCCCGTTGCAACGGACACAGATAGTATTGTGATTGCAGGTCTTGGTACCATGCCCAAATTTTTGGCGTTTAAAACATCGGAGTGGGTTCGGTATATAAACCTCCACACCGATGTTGTAACCAGCTTTGATAGATTTTGGTAGAGTGGACAGGGCAAAGGTGAACAGGTATGTGTTTGTTTTGACGATATTGTTGTCATGTTTCCTAGTGAAACGTTTCACAGATGTTACTTCTTGATTTTTTTAACGCAGCTGAAATTTCACCCTCTGTCATGTTAGACAGACACTTTGCATGAACCCGCACAAATCCTCTACATGAATTAAGTGACTTGTGCACCGAAACAACAACCTTGGTGTTAACAAATTGCTGAAGGCCAAGCAATTTGACAGATTGTTGTCTCCGTGCACATTCAACACGCAATGAATCACTTCGGAGACGAGTTACATTTTTCACCTCTCCGCAGACGCTTTGAATGCCTTTGGATACAGCGAAAGGATTAAGTCTCAACGGGTCTCCATCAGGAGAAGAAACAATGAACTTTGGCCAAGAATTCGCTACATCTGGAGAAACTTCTTCATCCGATGACAAAGAGTCTACGTGGCGACGTGTATTTGTCTTCAACGAACCAGAGTTTGGGTTTTGAATAGTATTCAGCACCCTTGATCCCCACCCGCCATCGAGTGTCAACAAGGACGATGTTGCAGAGACAACCATCTACATCACCAGGGCTACAAGGGTGTTATACTCCAGCAAATACAACGTGAATAGCCATATTTGCCTACCAAAAAATACTGCCTGGCTGGTTCGGCCCATAACAGGTAATTGGAGACATACGGAATCCAGAGGTTGACATTACCAGATTGGCCCATGAGCCACCGCCTTCTGGCATAGGACTCTAGGCAATATAAGATCACGAAGAATTGGAAAATAATTTGTATACTAAATATCAAAGTGACCAATGCCCAATAGAATAAGTGTGCAAAAATAGTTCTATGCTGACAAACCAGCTGATTGATAGAACCGGGCCAGTTCTACCACCCGTCTAGGTGAAGTAAGGGGCAAAGTGGTGTGTTGGGGAAACGAAACACGGTTCCAGGCTCCCAGTGCCTTCAACCACCAGACTCCCTTCCTCCACCGACACAGGGGCGCAACCCACGGCAAACGGGTTGGTGGACCAAATATACCCCCGGGTCCATAACGGGGGGTTGAAGAGCGCATACCTGAATTTGCTTCATGCTACATGTGCATCTGTGGTACAAGACGTCATTCCCATGCATGGCTCCTATGACAATGTTGTATTTGTGTCCCACATGGAGTCAAACATTGTTATTGTACAACGGATAGTTATTTGTATGAGAGGTCCTTTGACGTCTCTCTGTCTCTCCAATCAACATTAATATTGCTCTTGTTCGGGGCTGGTTCTCCGTGTTCTGTTTATAAGTTAGTTTGTATGTTTCAGTCGAAAATGAGATGTATGGAAAAGCACGTGGTATCACCCCAATCAACGAAGCTGATACTCAGACGGATGACTTCGTTATGTCAGGTATCTCTCATATCTCTAAATGTTACAATGAAGATTTGAAAGGCCGGTCTGACCCCATTCTATAATATTAGCTTTACTATATTTGCTTAACAGTTACAGCAACAAAAGTGGATATGGTTTCTTGAGTGAGTGAGTGAGTGAGTGAGTTAAATTTGACGTCACATCCGCAATATTTCAGCCATATAGTGACGAGAAAGGTTTTACATACACATTAAATATAAGTTGCTAAATAATCAGTCATCGAAGGACTGTAAAATAACTTGAGTATCACAGATGGATCTTGAATAATAGTATTGCTGTTTATTCATTTTAATATTACAATCCTTCACCAGATGCATACGCGACTGTAGATATGCCAGCTGCGAGCACGTGTACACCACGTCAGCAGGATGCGTCATGTGACGTCGACCTAGATAGCCTGTATTCTAAACCTGATAAAAGCAGGTCTTCAAATGTTCAACAAGGTAAGGCAGATCTATTGTTTAGTGTCGAAGTCTGATTCATTATATTATGCATAAAACGAGTTTTTCTATGATGCAGTCATAAATAGAGGTAAACGCGTGGAACCATCTGTCCAGGTCAGAATTGGTCTTTGGTAACTTATGTGTGTTATCAGAGACGTAAAAAGGGACCGATTATTTACATACCACCGTATAGCATGTAGCTGAAGTGATGCTGAGTGAGGGTTAAACAGTGAGTGAGTGGGTTTAGTTTTTCGCCGATTTTAGCAATATTCCAGCGATATAACGGATGGGGGATGTGGGTTAAACAACCAACAAACCAGCATCTGTAAAGTACATTAAAAACTCATTGTGTGAACATCAGTTTCAGACATATACGCCGAAGTAAAGAAACCCAAGAAGAGGCGACAGGATGATCCAAAGATGTCTGAAGATGTCCACACTGGGGACGTGTATGCAAAACCCATCAAGGGTTGAAAGGAATATCATATAGATGTGTGAAATATAACGACCAAATACTTTCAGCTAAAGGATGGTCAAATAGTGATGATACCAGATATTGGCGAAAATGTAAGGTGCAACCTGCCCCACTTACACTCTTGAAATGTCGGATACTAACTTACGCATTCTTGGAAATAATATGTTAATACATTTGTAACTGTCACTTGGAATGCACGCAATCTGAATGTTCACTCTTAATTTGATCTTGGTTTGACAGGATTGTTTCTCATTGCGATAATGCTAATCGAATGTGACTTTGTACCCAGCTGTTTCGTGGTAACAGCAAATTGTATTCCGTATAGTTGGAGAAGGTTTTATGCACGGTGTATACACTCATTATGAATACTATCGGACAATTACCGAATCACCCTTGCAGTTACCGTGTATATTGTACATGTACAGCTCGCTGTGATGTTTGGCAAGATGTTGCCCAATGATAGTCGTACGAAACGACAACCTGGAATGTGGAATGTAATGCATATGACCTGGTATGTTGTGTGTCATCGTAGCACAAGGATGTGGATCGTTTAACATGGTGCCAAACACAGATTCCACGGCAAAGGTTCGATAATCAAGAGGTGACTGCGATCTTTCTGTAATATTGCGTTCAACGGCTCTGATAACATTCACTGCTATTTACAGTGCTGAGTTAATATTTATAACACACCTTACGAAAAATGTGTACGGTGGTTTAGCGTCTTTGATATATGTGTCACTTTGACAGATCTAGGAAGTACAATGAAACCGCAATAGTTCGGAACACCTCGAGACCAGCAGGACATTTACCATGTGAGTGGAGTGAGTGAGTTTGAAGTCACATCGGCAATATTTAAGCCATATTGTGACTTGATAAAGTTGTACGATAATTTTAAAAACTGTCATCAATGGACAGAAAAACAACTAGTAATATATCAGGTTTGTTTTTAAAACTATATAATTATAGAGCTGAGTGTTTCACACTTATACCTACACATGGGGCTAGAGGGCGCTAGCAACACAGTTAGTGAGCGAGTTACAAGTTAACGTCACATCGACAATATTTAAGCCATATAGTGACGAGAAATGTTGTACATACACAATAAATACAAGTAGTTAAATGACCAGTCATCGACGAACTCTAAAATAACTAGAGTATCACAAAAAGAGTTAAAAGTAGCTAGCATATATCTTTAAAAGTAGGAAACTAGTTTAGACAATACAATGTAAAGATAGGCTATTGATCAGCAACTCAGTTAAGGACACTATACTGGACACTATACTGGACACTATACTAGGGAAGTTTACTGTGTGAAGGTACGTGTTCATCTTCAGCAACATAACCATGTACCAATGAGTCGTTACATGCAGCGTATTAAACAAGGAAGGACACGGTCCTTGGTGACTCGGGTGCATGGTTGTGTACACATGGGCATATGACATCTGTTTGATATGTGATGCTGGTCACATTGCAGTGTTTGTACATTAGTTTGAAAATGTTGGTCGTGTATATTCGGGGACAAACCACATATAGACGTAACGGTTTCTAGAGAATTCATCTGCTCGCATGACGTCAGCTTTTGTCATTATTGTAAAGTATCCCCTGACTTGTCGAAATAGGTTGGTAATTTAGCGCCCCATTCTGGTATTTTCAAACAGCGTATGAAACCTTTATGAACACGTGTATATATTAGAATTCAGATTACAACTTTATCCCCCTAGAATGTTATGACTTCACAAGATGGTGCTCTTCAGAATATATAACGCTTGGCGTGCCATGGTTACTAAATGACATCACAACGTAACGCTCACTTTATTGCTATTTATAGCACGTGTTATAGATAGATCACTTTTTAATTTATTTATTGAATAACTTTGCTATGTTTGAATATATACGAACAATGTTCTTCGTTGACTTTTCATCTGCGTTCAACACTATCCAGCCACATATCATGATACAGAAACCGTTAGACATGGGCGTTAACTCATACCTCATCAAGTGGATCGAAAACGTTCTTGTGGACAGACAGCAGTACGTGAAAGTTAACGGGGCTGTATCGAGTAAACGGACCACCAACACTGGTGCACCACAAGGCTGTGTAATATCTCCTGTTCTTTTCACCCTCTACACTAATGATTGTGCAAGCTCGATTTCAACCTGTTCAACTGTCAAGTTCACAGATAATGCAGCAATTGTCGGCAAACTGAACGACACTGATTCTGAAGAACTGTATAAAGAGGACATTAATCATTTTACGACTTGGTGTGCAGAAAACCACTTACTCTTAAATGTCACAAAAACAAAGGAACTGATAATTGACTTTCGGAGTAAACCCACAGAACTGCTTCCAGTGATAATCAACGTTGAATGTGTTGAGACAGTGTCGGAGTATAAGTATCTGGGAACCTTCATTGACTCTAAGCTGAACTGGAACTCTAACACTGAAGCCCTATACAAAAAGTGTCAACAACGTCTTCATCTCATGCGTAAACTCAGATATTTTAATGTTAACCCATCTGTGATGTCATCTATTTATGTAGCATTTTCTGATCGTACTCACTACTTAAATTTGGAATACAACCGGCTCTCTTCAGGCGTATTCTAACATTTTCCTTCCATTGTTGGTACGGGTCTCTCTCAGTTCATCTCAAATCTAAAATAGACAAAATTGTTAACACTGCAAGTAAAATCGCTGGAGTCAGATTTGAATGTTTATCATCAATATATGAGCGGCAAATCGTGAATCAAGCTGTCTGACCGTACTCACTACTTAAATTTGGAATACAACCGCCTCCCTTCAGGCCGCCGCTACAAAGTTCCAATTGTGAAAACTAAGAGAGCCCGTACATCCTTTATTCCAAGTACCATATCTCTCTTAAACAAATGTGAAGATACCTAAATCAAAGAATTTATGTAAATATGTTTGGTATCTCTCTAATGTGTCTGTAGCTCTGCTGATGTAACACAAATTCCTGAAAAGGCATAACAGCATTATTCTATTCTATTCTATTCTATTCTATTCTATATAACTTTGTTTTTTAATATTGTATTTGTGATTCACTTATGAACATGCATAGATTTGGTCTTGTCGCTCTTTGGCTTCAAAAATACTGATGCAACACTAAATTTTAACTCACTCGCTCATTTATAAAATGTCCACGTTATCTATCAAGAGCTTTGTAACATAATTGCTTTCCTTGTGTGGATTTGAATACAATAAAGGCTGATTTCCTTCTCAATATTTCATTGAAGTTCTGCCACTGCCTGTAACTCGACACAACAACGTTTACTTGAAAATGAATACATTACTCACCATTCTGGTTCCAGACAGTTTATCAGAGTGAAATACACGTAAACTTTATTATATGCCTTCATAAAGGTAACGACATATAATGGTGGTTTGTGGCTGGAATGGGAAGTTACCGAACTACGGATCAAAGGACAAATCTTAATGTGTATGTTGTGTCGTTGGCGAGATTGAGTGCTGGAGTTGTAGTGCAATGCTGTATTGAACAGATGTGCAGTTATATCACATTGTGTAAGTTTGGTATGTGAAGAAAACCCGAAGTGGTGCACGTTCAATACTTTAATGAAGTCCACAAGCATTGTTGTAGTACGAATGAAAGGGTTTTGGTCGTCAGTCTAAGGGATGTAACTCTGTACAGCAAACTGGGCCATCAAGAAACATGCATGTGTACCTATGCTACAGTCGGAATACCAGATCTGGAAACAAACGTTTTTGTGGTTGTAACCCACTGTAACACCAGAGTTCAAACTTTGATCACACACATAATGGGAGAAACGTTGGATTTCACTTGGACACCCTATATAGCCCTAACGAGCACAGGGACGTTTGTTGGGGAAGACAAAATGAACTGTGACTCGACCATGACCTCATCACATCACACCTGGCTCAGGGTATTTATCATAACTGAATAGAGATATGGATGAGGATAATACCCCTTGCACAAACGTGTTAACACACAATAACTAACATATCTATTGCTGTGGCAATATTATTGAAGCACAAACGTTTTCCGACGAACAATAATTCGTCGTGAATACAAAATGCCATTTAGAAAGTGGACAAATGTAACATATGTTATATTTGGGATTACGCTTTATTTTACTGACAGAGTGTAATCACGAATATGACATGTGTTACATCTGACCACTTTCTAAATTTCATTGCGTCTTCATAGCTTTCGGCCGTGGGAGCCGTGCCAATTTATACATATCAGAGGGGTACACAGAGTCCGCAGTCTAGACTACCAGTTGTCCGACATCAATTTTTGTGGAAGTCGCGGTAGCTGAGCGGGTTAGGCGGCTGACTTTGTGTGCTTGCGATTAGGTGCCTGACTCTGAGGGTGTAGGTTCGAATCCCGGATGGGACTTAACCCAACAAATGTGCTAAATAATTCTTCTAATTTGAAATTGTAGTTAAACATCATTACACAAACGTTAACCCCATTAAAAAAAAAGTATAAGCGTGTTGTCATTCGTACCATCGTTGTTGATTTGGAGAGAGGGGCGGTGGGGTAGTCTAGTGGTTAAAGCGTTGGCTCGTCACGCCGAAGACCCGGGTTCGAATCCCCACATGGGTAGAATGAGTGAAGCCCACTTCTGGTGTCCCCCGCCGTGATATTGCTGGAATATTGCTAAAAGCGGCGTAAAACCAAAATCAGTCAGTCAGTCAGTGATTTGGAGAGAATTCATACCCATACTCATAATGATTGTCCCTACCTGTGTTCAGACGCAGATGTCTAGGGGGGTTACAGTAACAGTACTGTTACCTGACCCTAATGTTTTATTACTGTTTTGATGCATATGTTATTGCGTATATTTACATGGTGTTCCTGTAAACTGATTGTCATTGAGAAACCGTTCCAAATTATGTTCCACAATTCCAAACATACCAAACATCCGAATTATTTCTCACTAGAATAATACCCTGCTGAATATTCTCTACGCAGAGTATATATTCATACACACATACAAATACTAAGCTTGTTATACACTTGAGGGATCTCGAGGGACAAACGAAAGCTGGAGGTATCCTGGTTGCAGTGATGCCAATTCGTTTATGTGCTGCGAGGATATAAGCGTTTTAACTTCGCTTTGATGAATATGGGATCAATGCCAGCCATAACTGACGAAAGGAACAACATTTAGGAACCATATCTACATACGACCTGATGAACGGATAGCTCAGTAGTATTGTACGCCAGGATTCGCTGTGGAGAGTTGCAACCCTTAGGTAGCTCAACGACAATGATTGGCTGGAGTCGACCTGATTGTTTCAAGGATTGTCAGTACCAGACCCGTGCTTGAGGATGTCTCCAAGGTGGTAATAACTCTAAGGCCTAAATCATTTATTGCTTTGTTGACGTCATGGTGGCACAGGGTAACTATGGTGTATATCGAATACGTTTACAATGAACAAACGCATGTTTCAAACTGTATTTTTCCCTATAACGTTATGGGTCATTCTCCAAAAAAGGCCAAATTCGTGCTATGAAAAATATGAAAATACAAAGCATCATACTGAATTATTTCATTATTGTTTTGAATGGTCAACACATTAAAAAATGCGGTCATGATAATTTGCACACAGGAAAGTAATAAAATATTTTTAAAATAAACTTTTTTGAAGTATCCACTGAAAAAAGCCGTCAGTGGTGTAACAAGCATAAAAGTATTCTTTTTCAAACTTTGATGCCAGTTAAGGAATTTTTCACATTTGTCATTATTTACAAACTTTTTTTATTTTTAAATATAAATTAAATCGTTTCATTATTCTCACATATTAAATTGTAAATTTGGCAAAAAGGGCTTGGTGTGAGAAGAATGTAATGGTAACATATGATATTTTTTTCTGAAATAACTTGTATACTTAAGACTGAACATGTTTTATGTATACAGTGGTATTAAAGCTGTTTTCAGTTATAATAAAATATCAGTCTAACTGTTAAATTATTCTTTTGAAGTAATTAAATGTTAGCAAATATGCATGTTACACCACTGATATTTTTTGATATCCTGCCTGTTACACAACTGAACTTTCTGCAACTTACTGGAACAGTAAACCAAATCAACAGCCATATGATGCTTTGGATTACTTAATAATCATCATTGGAGAACGGCTTTCCAACATGTGGCATTGGAAAACAAATGATATCAACAGTTAAGATTAAAATGTACAAATTCAAAGAATACTGTGACACCAATGACATGTTGTGTTACACCAATGATTTTTCTTTACCTCACTCTAAATAAAAATCCAAATTAATTGCCTTTAATTGATAATTAACAGATTTAAACATCTCAACAGCAAATTCTGAACACTCAGATTTTAAAAGGTTTTTAAAAAATAATATACAAAAGCAATAAAATGAACAAATTGTAGTAATATTGTTACACCAATGACATTTTTTGTTACACCACTGATTTTTATTGAATTAACTTCAAAGATAAATTCAAATTAATTGCCTTTAATTGATCACTAACAGAATTGAACAGCTCAATAGCAACTTTTGAACACTCAGATTTTAAAAGGTTTTTCAAAAATAATATTAAAAACAATAAAATGAACATATTGTAGTAATACTGTTACACCAATGACATTTTTTGTTACACCACTGATTCTTCTGAACTTTATATACTAATATACCAGAAAAAATTACCTTCACAGACTTTACATGAGTTAATGGTCATAAAATATACTGGATAAATACAATGCAAAGCAGTCGAGTTTTGTGAACAAGTGACTTAAATGAACATTTTGTCAGTGGTGTAACAAAAACTGTCAGTGGCGTAACATTTTACCACTGACAGTTACACCACTGACCTATTCCCACTTTTATGAACTTTATAACAATTAATGCTCCCTAACCACAGACCACCTGGCATAAATGTTGATGTTTTAGCAACTTT